AATGTAGAGGAAAACTGGGATATGGAAACATCCATTTTTGTAAATACAACGGTCTGGCAGCAGGAGGCATTCCAAATGTATCCATGCTAGAAAGCAAGACTGTGCCCAAATCTTTGCTTTTTCAAGTGGATTCTATGGTGGAGTAATTTTAGTTATTGTGAAATCAGTTTGGCTTAATTTGTTGGTATTTACTCTGAGTAATTATTAAAGATAATTGGATTCAACATGCTCTTACATTGTTTTTCTCTCAGTTATTTGTAAGTCTGTGTAAAAGTTATTATTCAGCTGCTTCATACCATAAAGGGAGTATGGGTAGACATACAGTTGGAGTTGATAGATCTGAAGCTGAAAGAGGAAGGTTAACATGTACTTGCTATTTACTCTGGTGGATTCTGCTCAAACATACTGTTTAAAGCAAAACTATTTCCTGTTTGGACTATTAGAATTATATTTTCTTTCCCTAGTGAATTCTTCATGCCGGGAATGGTTGACACACACATTCATGCCCCTCAGTATTCATTTACTGGTACAAGAGTAGATCTACCTCTTTTGCAGTGGTTGACTACCTACACATTTCCAACAGAAGACAAATACAAAGACAGCGATTTTGCAGAAGAAGTATACACCAGAGTTGTTGTAAGTACTGCAAATGTCATTTAACTTCTTGATGACATTCATATTTGTAAAATATATAGATGTTTTTCAGGTCAGCAGAAATAGCAGAGCATGTTTTAAAGTTATGAAAAACAGATAAAACCAAGAATAGCCACTGTTCTATTTGCCAGCCAAGATTGTCCCCTACTAGTTCCAGTCTTGTTTTGTTCTTGCTGATAAGACAGTTCATTTAATCACATGGTTAACAATGAACTTGTTTATCATCTTTTCTCATATGTAAGTACTATGACCAACATTTAAGAGTACTCTCAGAGCTGGTATAGCCAGCAGGTGTAGACAATCTCAATGCAGAGAGAACCAAGCATGGTACAAAAAAACCATCAGAGGATATTACCTTTTCTGCACAAAACCCCTCAAATACGAAACTATCTTCTGCAAAGACTACATGAAAGAGAAGATACTTCTCACAGACAACAAAGCTGGGGTGTTTTCAAGTAATTAAGGAAGGTGGTTTTACAGCTGAGGTCCTTGTAGCAGGAATATATTTCACTTCAGGGGCTTTAGATGGAATCTGTCAATGGTATTGTGGCACAAAGAGAGAGATTGTGTTTGACCTAGACTGATTCTGAGCAATATAAATGTTTTAAGTCAAATTCCACTTGATGAACAATAAGCACCTACGTCACATTGTAGAGTACTGATTCTCTGCTATAACTAAAATGTATCCTTTAATATGTGGGCTGAAATATCTTTGAGAGATTAAATTAATTGGCCAACATAAGTTGCCTTGCATTTGTCTAATGCTGTGACAACATGTGTTGTTAAAATAATAGCATAGTGGATCTGGAATAAATAGTTATACTGCCCTTGCCACACAGATTTTTAAAAAACCTACTTTCTGCCATCTGCCATCATAAAAACATGTAGGAGCAGTTTGGTCATAAACTCTACTAACAAGCACACTTACCTTCAGCTACTTAAAATGTAGAGCTGATGTCACCTCCCAGCTGTGTGCCTCAGCATACTGTTACTGTCTCCATCGATTCAGTTAAGGTGACATCAGCACAACTAAAATGCTCACTATGCAAGGTGTTTAATAACATTGCCCAGAAAAGAACTGCCAGGTGAGAGATGGATTTAGTTGTAGAAGCTTCAACACAATGGTTAGACTGTCCCTAGGAGTATCAAATAGGACAAGGCCAGGAAAATTTCTTCACCCCCAAAATACTGCAGAATACCAGCTGCTCTGCAGTGTTTGATGGGGCTGATTGTAACCTCCAACTGTTAGAAACAGGACTAAACCTGCAGAGGGCAGATATTGTTTCATATGCATCTTTGTACTTTTGGAGTTGTAATGAAAACAGTGGTCTTTTTCAATCAAAATTCTGTTTCAAATAAACACTTTCTATACTTTATGAAAGAGACAAATTAGGTGGAATTTGCCAGATTTCAGCTTGAACCTCCTCTGGTCTCTCAGATTTTAAGAAAGCCAGTTCTTCATGCTGATGTTTTGGAAACACAATGTTTTTGAAGATTTCATTTAGCAATGATGTCAAGAATCCAGAAGTAGAGAATTCTGGGTTTTAAAGCTCAGAGAGACAGATGTAGTCTGTCTCTGTAATGATATTGTTATTTCTGAGACTCATTTTGGGAACCCTTAAAGACATTTTTGTAATTATTTTCTTTAATTTGAATATTTTAAGGAAAAGACAGAACTTGGCATCATGTTTGCCAAATAATTAGTTCTAGCCATTCTCAAAAGTTGTTGGATGTCCCACTTTCTATCTCAAAAAAATAAAATAAAATTCTCAAATTACATTGTATCTGGAATCCAAAAATGTAATTTAAACCTGTATATTGGATGGGTAGTCCCAAGGTCAAGTGAAGCTACACATTTCTTAATGAGTTAATCTAACTCTAAATGGCTTTAGTGTTATGTTCTCCAAACATAATGGGAACAGATGTCAACCACCTCTCCTTTCAAATGCTATAATAAAATAAATAATTAAATTGTGCTCTGAACAGTTCTCAGTTTACTTTTACCTTGAAGTTTGTTACTTTGTACTCAGGGATAGCAAAGGATTTTAATACATAAAAGCCTGGCTATTTTTCCCAGCCATCAAGTGTTGCTTTGCTAATGTTGGATAAACAGTGCTTCACTGAAAATTGGAGAGCCTTTAAAAACTAGGAAATAACATAAATGACTAGTTGTTTGTATTTCTAAATATAAGTCAGAATTTATTTCTAGTTTGAGTGAAGGAGGTTTCTAACGGTTTAGTCACTGTTAAAATCCTGTATGGATTTTGAAGAGTGATTTTATATTTATTAACACTGAGACTTAAAAACGTACTATGAAATTAAAAATCTGTATTTTACCTCCCCACTTCACTGCACAATTTCACAATAACTAAATGTTCTTGCAGTTTGAAATCAGACTGCCTGTTCTGCATTTTGGCAGCTTAATTTTTTCCCAGACAGTTGAAAATTATTTCTTTTTATAGAGACGAACTCTAAAGAATGGCACGACTACAGCTTGCTACTTTGCAACAATTTACACAGACACTTCTCTTCTTCTTGCTGAAATCATAGGTAAGACTAACAGTGAGTTTTGAAGTATGTTGCGCATCCATAGTTGAAGGAAACAGAGTTTAGGCATTTTAGAGTAGCTAGGGATCTGTCTGTCTTTCTACCAATTTTTTTTTTAATTCATTGTATCTGTCATACTGTGTCCCCAAAATCCACCCTAGTTACCCTTGCTCACTTGTCACCTTGTTCACTGCCACTCTCCTACTGTTGTTTCTGCCAGTCTCTTCATTCCCAAATCAGCTGCTGGCTGAGCATGAATTAGGTCTGCTGGAGTTGCTCTTCAGCTGCAGTTCTCTGCTCTTTCTAGCCTTTTGCTGTTTGAGGATTAAAGGGCTGAATAACAAGAGGTTCAGTCAGTGCATTAATTTCCTGATACTCTGAAGTTTCAGTTGAGAATCAGCATCTAAAACCTCTACGCACCCTCTGAAACCAGAACAGTAGGAGTTGGGTCAGGATCTTATCCCTCCCTTCTGTTCACCATAGAAAATACCTGCTGCTTGAAAGTGGTGAGATTTTTGCAGGATTTCTGAAGGCTCAGCCGGTTCCTAAACAGAGCAGTATAATGAGAATCTCAGTTTTCATCAGAAATTCCCTAGTCTTTCTGATTTAGTAGGAAAACCTAAAACTTTGAAGCTGTTGTATGCAACAGCTCAGAATGTAAAAGTGGACAAAAGAGATCTAATTCAGAAACATGTTTAAAAGCTTAGAAATTAACATTATATGCATTTCTTTTAAGTCTTACACATGAGTTCCAAATTCTAGCATGGATAAATCTCAAGAGGCTGGAAGAAGCTGGTAATTTTCTCCATCCAAATGCATTTTGGAGGCATGTTAGGAGCTTCATTCCTTTCTCTTAGGCAGAGATGTTTAGCTGAGACCTTTTTGTGCCTTTTCTCAGCTCAGAGTAATCACCTGCTACAGCTGCTGTACCTTGTTGCTGTGTTTCTCATTCTCTACTTCACAGCAGTTTTCTTCATATACTACAGTTATAAATTCTGCTTGTGGTTAAACTACAGTAATCTAGTACTCAATTATAATATTTTTAAAATTGGGTGCTAATGTGGAAGAGAACTCCTATTTAAATGTTTCAGGTTTTTTTCCTCTTTCCTTTTTAGACTTAAAAGTCATATGGATCGTCCCAACTCAAAGAGAAGAAAAGATCATAAATTCTGTGCATCTTAAATGAAGCTGGGAGGGGTGGAATTTGCTATTCTGATTTCAGCACAGGTTTTGATAGCAGCTTTTGAGAACCAGTGATTCTGAATTTTATATTCTTATGCATCTCAACAGATAAATTTGGTCAACGAGCATTCGTTGGAAAAGTCTGCATGGATATGAATGACACTGTGCCACAATACAAAGAGATTACTGCTAACTCTGTCCAAGAGACAGAAAGGTAAGGTGATGAAATTGATTGCACAACTTTTAGAAATAAGACTTTTTCATACATCTGAAAAGTGAATATGAAGCTGACTAAGAACTTACAGTTTAAATTAGGAACAGGTTTTTTTCTTCCGATAGTATTTTTTCCTAGATTTCTGGCAGTTCCTGTATACCCAGTTGCTGGACAGCCCAAGCAGTTTCTTGCTCTTCAAAAGAAAGGGAGAAGCTACAACTCTAGGGTTTGGAGGGACTATGTGGATGCTATTGTCTGTATTCTGCCTCCTCTTTTCCCTTCACAGGGAATCCCTGTGTGTGGAGGTGATGTGACCTGACATGGGATGGTGGGGTGTCAGTGAGTTGCTTCACCCCCATTAACTTCTGAGCCATTTCCTTCCCCCATTTAGGATAAAGCTTTATTCAAGCTGGAGGAGTCAGCTTTCATATACTCTATTTTAAATGTACTGTGGTTCCCCTCTCCTCCAGCATAGCACCAGTGTTATTACTCTGACTTACAGATGAGAGAACAAAGGAGAATCAAATCAAAGCAAATGTACATGGCGAAGGGGACCCAAGACTGGAGTATGGCAGCCTGTTGTCTTGGGTTTCTCTTGTCTTTTGCATCTATGTTCAGAAAATGTTTAAGCAGAAGAATAGCTTTTCTTACAGGACTATTTATTTACTTTGTATAATTGTTTCAAATATCATGGTGAAAGAGAAAATACTTAATAGTAACGTAAACATCATATGGCACTGGTGTGAAGTTGCTACCTCAATTTTGCAAATCATGCTAGAAGAATTCCAGTAAAAGTTAGAAATAATCATGGATTTCTAATGGTTTCTATGGTGTTTATATTTAAAGACGTTTTAAAAACATGTAGTATTAGTCATTTGCACTCTACTAATATTTGTTTTCCTTCATGTAAATCCCCAGTTTTTGTAATACAACATGAGTTCTGCTGAATGGCCTGAAAGTGGCAGAATTTCCAGTTCTGATATGTTTTAAAGTTTCCTTCTTGTGTGATTGTGTTAATAACAGATGTTTCTCAGCTTTGGATGAGAGCCTGCCACAAGTACTCCAGAGCTGTCTAGAGAAGAGGGCTGTGTTCTTGTTGTCATGGATCAGAACTACTTACCACATCAGGCCTGAATTGCAGCAATACAATTGCAGAAGGATAAAAAAGCTTTTCCTTTAAGAGGGCAATTTTTTTTTTTTAAGAACCTAGGAAATGTGATCTGTCACACAGTCAAAAAATGGCTTACACCAATTTCAGTTCTTTACTGTTAACCTCTGGAAATACTTATATTGTATGCATGGAAATGATATACAATTCCAAGTGCTTCATATGTTAAATCTAAATTCAAGTAAAGAATTTGAATCTACATTTCTGCAAAGAGGGCTAAATAAAAGTTAGGGAACCGAAATCTAAATAGGTTATATGCTACTAATAGTTGTCATCTGGAAAGAGGAGGACCCATGTTCAAATCTGTTCTTCTGCTACAGAAGACAGTGGTTTGAACCTGAGCTTATTTCCTCATAGAGAAGTACAATAAGCCAACAAAGTATAAGGTATTTTGAGAAAGGTATTTCAGTTTTGAAACAATGCTGAAACTGTTCAAAGAGTGTGAGAAGGAATGAAAACAGCCGTCTGGAAGTTTTGGATTATCACCTGAGAGTTATACCTGGGTTACAGTTTCTGCTCCAGTGAATATTTTATTATTATATCAGGTGAATCTGTAAGAGAAGGTACAGATAGACAATACCAAATGATATTCTGGCTCTCAGAGTTAGACAAGGTTGGGCTCAAACTCCTTTGGTCATTGCAGAAGTTGAATTTAGGTCTCTCACTTCCAGCTGGTGATCTAGCATCAGCTGCAGTGTTGTGAATCTAGCCCCCAGCATTATTTTCTTTTCCATCTGAAGATATTTGACAAATTTGATTCGGTGTTTGTTGTGACCAAAATTACAGTTTTTTCTGAACATAAACTATGACACAAAAATTCACAGAGATCCTGTCCAGAACCTATCTCAAACTAGCTTTTCGAAATTATTTGCGTACACTGTGCGTATGAGTTTTCAAATAATTTCTTCCCTGCAAAGTCAGATGAAGTTTTATTTACTCATCTACATCATCTATATTGACTGTTTGGGATTTTTTTGTAGAGGTTCCTGAGGTAGCTTCTTTTATGTAACAAAGTAAGTAAATCTATACTGTATTTTCCATAAGGTAAATAATCTATACACTAAAATTAGTACAAGCATTTCCAGGAAATCAAGGGTCCTTTAAATGAAAAAGGACATATGCAACTACTGTAGATATGAAATATTGCAGCATCTTCTAAAAATAGGATTTTAATAAAAGAATATATTTAATGATGTAATTTAAATTAATAGACAAATTTAAGTGGGTTTTTCTCTAATGTTGCAGCTGTATCTTTTAAGTATGTTTTCAATTAATTTAATGTAACATATTTGGTTTTCAGTGAGAACTTGGATTAATTAATGTGTCTAATGTTAATTATTGCAAGTGAAAAATATTCTGCATATCAACCAGTATAATTTGGTGTAAAAACCCTGACTTCATTGTGATGCTTCTTTTTATTTCATCTGAGGATCTAGCTCAAATTTCTTAAAAGAATTAATCTATGTCTGAAATGCTTAACAGGGTATCTAAGTAAATGTTTTCTATATTTTCATAATTTATAACACAGATGAAAGATTTATAACAGATTTTTTCCTACTCTTTTTCAGGTTTGTTAAAGAACTACTGGAAAAGAAAGTAAGTAGAGTTCTTTGTATTCATGTCTGTGTTCAGGAGATGCTGTGTGAATATACAAAGTAGTTAATCCCACTGACAAACTGCTGGCTTAGTGACATATCAATAAATATACATATTTCTGTGTAGTAGGAAGATATGTCTGAGAAATGTTCTGCTAGCTGTGTTGTTGAGAAATGGACTTGTAGCAGTGTAAATTCAGTTTCATGTAGTCAGAGCACAGCAGAAAAGTGTTCTGTGTGTGTTCTCTATTAACTTTAAAATCCTGGGCTTCATAGAAATGACAGTCTTCTGGTAAAGGAAGGTAGAGGTCAGTCCATCACTCTGTGCTATGTAAATATACTAGTAAAAAGAGTTCTCACCAGGAGAAATTGGTGTTTTTACAGCACAGTTACTAATTCATTACCAGAGTAGTATTTTGGGTCAGCACGTATCTTCCAGTATGTTTCTAAAGAAATTCATATTTACATTCCTGAGGTAAAGATAGAGGTTTACCCTCCATTATTACAAGCAGGGATACTTTTCTTATCAGCCCTTTGTGACATTTGTATCTCAAAATAATCAAGAACAGATGCCTAGAGTTTAATGCCTAAATCATATGTATTAGTAGAGTAAGTCAGCTGCAGAAGTTCTGAGCTTGTATTTCTTATACCTAGTTGGTATAAGAAACAGAAAACTAAGTTATCATATGCTGTCTTCTAGTGCTGCCACATGCACAACACTTGCCTGTGACTGAAGGCAGAGTTGTAGTGCTGTTGTCTATTTTTTATGAAAATTTTAATCCAGAAGTGCAAGGTGTAAACATCTGTAGCTCTAGTCTTGGTGACTTAATCCACTGTTTTCTACTGTGTAGCGATCTATCTGGTGCTGCCACTAATATTCCTATCTGGGGAGTATAGTGATGGTTTGTTGCTATCGTGAGTGGAGAAGATCGAACAAGAAGGTGGCTTTGGTTTTACAGAACTCTGCAGTTTTGCATTGTTATGTCTTTGATATTCACAGAAGTGGGATTCAAAAAGCCATCTGGTCATTTAACTGACTTATTTCTTGTAATGCATCCTGGTTTGTCAGCAAATATGAAAAAGCATGCTGTGCTTCTCCTGAAGTCTGGTAAAATCTCAGTGACTTGATCGAAGAGTTCTAATGAAAATAACTTCTTTACTAAGGTTCATTACAACTGTTTTCAGGAAAAACTTTGATTCTCTATTTCTGCAGTGAAATTTCTAATGAAAATAAGGAAATTACTATAAGGCTTAATTTCTTGGCAAGGATGCAGTAAGCAATAAACAAGGGAGACAAAATGTAATTGCTGTGTAAATGCTTGTCTTAATTATGGTTGCTGATACACAGATGTAGAATCCTAAGCATGTCTTTTTAATATTTTCAGTATCCAAGGGTACAGCCTGTAATAACCCCCCGCTTTGGCCCTTCCTGCTCAGAGGATTTGCTATGTGCCCTTGGCGATTTAGCACAGGCTTGTGATCTCCATGTGCAGGTAAGCTCTGAGAGCTCTGTACACAGTTTAAATAGTTTGGATAGATAGCATACAGACCAGGGAGTTTTGATAATTGCATCAAAACAGTTAAACCATATTCTTACCTTGGAGCCTTTTAAATTCCTCTGAAAGGATTAATAGTACTCTGCAAGAACACTGTGACCTGCACAGGAAATGAGAAGGTAGCTTGAAGATAGCTAGAAGGATGCACAACTAAGTAACCCCTTGGGTTAGTAAAGGTTGCTTTCTCTAGTCCAAGGTTGTTAGATCTGTCTCTCTACCTTCTGCTGTTTCTGTGCAGAGGAGATTTCAACAGATAAAAAAATTACTCATCTTTGTATCTCATTTAACTTTGTTAACATAGATGTAGGATTTCCAGTGTGATGAAGTTTCTGAGTTTAAAAAAGACATATTTTAGAGTTTACAGGTCTGTTGAAATTTTGAGATGTTTCTTTTTTGGTTGCACAGTTCTAAGCATATACTTTTGTAAAGCTACCCTGCGTTAGGATTTTTTGTCATTATGGAAGTATATGTCATTTTGAAAGTATTTGCTCCAGTGGGAGTACAGGAGGATTAGATTTTTATCGGAGACCAGGAATTAATCAGCCCATCTGAAGATACATGGAACAGCTACCTGTATGTTGCCCTGATCACAGGGTCCACTGTGGTAGGCTGGTTCTCTCTTTTACCTCATAGTCATACGGGTTATTTCATTTGTTGTTTTAATATTTGCCAAATAAAAAGGGGGCTGTTATGTCACCAAGCTGCTTGGAAGGACTATCCAGGCGTGTTATCTCATACCACTTTTAAAGGAACAAATGGAGCTACTTTTTGGGGTCCCAGAGATGTTTCAGATGAAAAGAGAAACCCAACATCTAGATGTAACTATAGGCTTTACAAATACTAGTTTCTGTCATTATATGTTTAACACCAGTGGGTTGCTCAGAAGGTTGTAATGTCAGGTTTAATGCTATTTAAAGTGCTTATTGAGATATATTTTGTTACTGCAGAGTCACATAAGTGAAAATGAAGAAGAACTCAAACTTGTGGAAGACATGTTTCCTGCCTACCAGAATTACACTGAATTGTATGATAAAAACAAGCTGCTGACCAGCAAGGTAGCTGCATAAAAATCTCCACAGCAGACTTAGACAGACCCATGTAGAGAATATGATGGTTAACTGTGGTTATCTAAAAAGTTTGTATTGTCTTGTCAAGGTCAGTGACATCTGTTGGAAAGTAAATTGGTTTTATGTTCTCTGTTGCACAAGTATTGGTCAAGGTATTGGAACTTTAGACAAGCCCACACTTTTCCTAAACATTTTAGAAGAGACGAACAATAAAGGTATTTGATGCTTCCTGATCCATTGTCCAAGAGCTCCAAAGAGAATTGGGGCAGTGGGATCAGGAGGCTAGGTAAAGCTTGTATTGTAGGAGCTGGTAATTCTCAGGCAGTACCCAGTTATCCTTTTATTACAATGTTCTTGCACACTGGTTTTGCCTGAAGGTTTGTTCTTTGGTGTTATGATAGGACTGACTTCATTTTTTGGCAGTTTCCTATAGAAAACCAGCTTGTTCTGTGTGTGGACCTCCCATACAGACAGGTACACTTTACTGTCCTGACTATCCAAAAGCACTCATCTCATTAGCAGATTTTACCAAGTATTGAGAGGCACAGTGGCCTGAAGGGTTGAAATTCATTAATGCTTTATGCTGTTGAGATAAATGCAAGCAGATCTGTATCAGTCCACATTAAGTACAGTTTGGAGTGCCAGGAAACACCTAACTAGATAGTGGAGAGCCCATGCAAGAGTGAATATGAAGAGCCTAGGTACAGTCAGAGTGCTTAAATATCAGTCAAAATTATTAAAAATTTTAGGAGAGAATTTTCAGAGGTACAAAGTGTAGCTGGGAACTCCCTGAGAATTCGCTATTGAACTCCCATTTCTGTCCTTTTTACCTGAGAAATCAATATGGACTACTACAGTATGTCCACAGTATTAACTTTTGTTCTCTCTCAGTCCTATGCATGCTGATTTGTTGCGTCAGTGTACTAAAGAGAATATTAGTTTTATATGCACAGCATATTACTTTTATATGCACAGCAGTGAAAATGGTCACTGAAAATCCGGGTTACTGGTGTTTTCTGGTGCCAGGCTCCTGGTTGGCTGGTAAAGCGTTCTATTAAACACAGGCATAACAGAACCACAGACATTTCCCCCTCCCCAACCACCAAAACAAAGACACCAAATTTTTTTTTTTTTTTAAATATTTTAAAAATATGCTTTTCAGAGCTGTGGCTGAAATGCTTCCTTCTTCCCAAAAAGAACAGATCAGCAGAGATATGGTTCAGCAGCTACCATATGTATGTCCTTAAATTAAGATGTGACTGTTCTCATTGCATTTTCAGTTATGTTTGAGCTTGATGAGTAGAAATGTCAAGGGTAGAGTGCTATTAGGAGATGCTCAGTGGAAACAGTCCCTGTGCCATTCTCATTTTTATCAGCAGATTACAAGGCCTAATAGAGCTCTTGAGTGGGCCTTTGACATATGAGGTAATTCCAATTAGATTTGTCTGGGAATAATTGGTTTATGTTCTATTAAATGATACTATCCTATACTTCTGTGTTTTCTGTATACTGCTTGTGAACTTATTTTTAAAGTCAGTTATATAGGCCAAGAAAGAAAAGTCATTAACCAGTTGCATAACAGTTTATTTTAATTGAAGAATATTCCAGATATATTTATATCTACCTGGTGCAAACCTTTAGAGAGACAGTGGGAAACATGCTAAGAGTACATATATCTTCCATTGTATCTGATACATTCCTAGCCCCAGTACTTAATCTTTGAGTTAGCTATGAAATATAAATGATAAGGTTACAACAGTGCTATGGCTACTGGGGAATTCTTGCTTTATTCCTGGAAGCTCTTAGGTCACAGCAGTCACTGCAAGAGTCAGCACCCTATCTTCTTACATTAAAACATGAAAAAAACTGAGGGAGTGATATGTCAGGCATACTGAAATTAATGAGGGTTTCTCCTCTGTTGATTTCAAGAGCTTTCTTCAAGAAGTGCATTAATTTCCCTTGATGGTAGTAAGTGTCCTCTTGGCTATTAAAAGCAGTGCAGCAAAAATCACAGGCACTGGAGTAAATGCAATATTCAGTAAATGGGTGATTTTGCCTTTCTTTAGACAGTGATGGCTCATGCCTGTTACCTTTCTGAAGAAGAGCTGAAACTTTTTAGTCTTCGTGGAGCTGCAATTTCACATTGCCCCAATTCCAATTTTTCGTAAGTGAAAAAAAAAAAAAAAATAATGGTGTACAATTAAATAAAAAACTGTTGTTAACACAGTACCCTGAGTCCAGCCTACTGTTACAAGGCTATGTATATGATACCCCATTCCACCAGAAGTTGCATACTGGATTGAGCATGACAATTCATGCTCTACTTCTACATGGTATGCTCTGGAGTGACTTGTGATCTTTCAGAATAGTTATACATATATATATATATATATATATATATATATATATATTTCTTTTTTTAAACTTTATTTCTTTTGACTGTTTTATTAATGGCAGACTCAGGCCATCTACCTTCCCCCTAAGGTATGTATATGCTTTGGGGAAATGGGAGTGGGCTATATAGTATTCTTTCTATTAAGCAGAATAGTGTTCTTTCTGTTAAGCAGAAATGAGATACTATGTGGTATCTAGCCAGGTTCCTATACTAAATGTTAACAGTCATTTTGCCTTTAATATAATCTTATTTGTGATGACTTTCTGGAGCTCATGAAATGACTTATCTGCTGTAATATACATCATATTTGGATTTTTTCACTGTTATACTGAGAGCTTGTTTTCAGTAGATAACTAGAAAACTGTGGGAGTTTTTAACTGAGAAAAACTGCCTTTATTTTTAGTGATTAAGCCCCATCTTTCAGATGTATGAATGCAAATTCTCCATCCAAGATTAATAAACCCAATCTATTGCACACGTTCTGAGACCCTTTGTCATGAAGCATCTCTGTAGCCCTACTCCTCCTGAACTTTCTCTTCATGTATCACACTGAACATATTTCTTTTTCCAATCCAGGCTGCGCAGTGGTGTCTTAAATGTGCGAAAGGTCCTGAAACACAATGTGAAGCTTGGTCTTGGGACAGGTTAGTTGTTTGCTAGAAAAAATTATTTTGGAAACCATTGGGAGATGCAAAAACATGCCCACTTACTTGTATTTAAAAGTCAGCATGTCTCCAACTTACGGACTGTCTTTTAGTTCCCCACTACTTCTAGAGTAACTAAGTCTAGAGTATGGAAATCTAGAGCTGGTCCAACAGTGTTTAAAAAGAAAACCAGAAATGAATGAAGAAAGTTTTGTTCCTGTTGTGAGAGTAAACAGGGCTTGAACAACAGCTTTTCAGGTGTTATTCTGTGTTGAGTTCTGTTTAGTTTACTTAGTATGTGAGAGAACCTTTACTAGGAATTATACATTTAGTGCTTAGCAGTAATACATTTAGCGCGTACCGTATCTGCCACTTCATAACATTTATTTAAAGATCATAGAAATTTAATGCAGAAACTTATTTCTAAAGTTTGTTTCTAAGAGTCTGATCCCTTCTAGATGTTGCTGGTGGATATTCAGCTTCTATGCTTGATGCCATCAGGAAAGCAATTATGGCATCTAATAGCCTTCAGATCAATAAAGTGAATGAAAGGGGGCTAACTCTTGAAGAAGCTTTTCAACTAGCCACTCTAGGAGGAAGCCAAGGTAAGAGGAAACTTCTTTAGGATGTACACAGGGAACTATAGTTCTTATGTCTCCCTGTCTTTAAAAGGTGGCTGAATTCACAGATTTTCTGGTGCCAGAGTGAAGTCTAAGTTGATATCTGCTGGGGCGGGATATCCTTCAGTCTCTCACACCCATAACTAGGCTCATTACAGAAGGGTGTTCACGTTGATGGTGAGAGTTTAATAATAGAATCTTATTGATTTTTCAGGGTTGTACATTTTCTTTGCAAAGATCCTCAGACTTCTTAATCATTAGTGTTTGTACGTTTATCACACCAACTGGAAAGACTGTTTTCTCAGAAATCAAAACTTAGAGGGAAAGCTGTGCAATTACTGTAAAATCAAGCATCCTGTTTGTCATCAGTTTCTAATTTTGTTTCTGCTTTTTGAGCTCTCAGTGAGGCAGTTTGTCACTGTCTTTCCAGCAAATTATAACATGCAAATCACTCCTCAGTCAAAGAAAAGCACAACATCTAAACAGGATATGCACCATGGTTGTTTGAGACACAGTGGCATCTGCAGAATATAGTCATATAGTATATCAGTTATTCTGGTTCACCGGCACGGATTTATACATTTAGCAGAGTTTTAGTGGAACTTACATGATTTAGCAGAGAGCAAATCCACATTAAGTAAAAATTTATTACTATTTCAGTTAGCAGAAATGAGCTCACTACCTGCTAAAGAACTGGTTCCGAGAAGAAATCTTTTTTTCAACAATATATACTCTTCTCATAAAAGCTGAGAATAAATTAGGTGAGATACAGAAAGGAAAACTCATAAAAATCACAAACTCATACATGGTTTCCCTTCCCAACTACTTGTTTTATCTGGGTTCTTAGGTTTACTTAGTAATGCATTTATTTTATATATTGATTTTAAGCTTGTTTATCCTTACTGAATCACTTTCAAGGACAGAATATAAATTACTCGTACAACCTTCTAGTAACCTGCACAAGTACAGCTGGCAGAAATGTAAATGACTGAGTGTTGCAATAATTTGTTTTGCTGAGACTGCTAAACAATTGTTGCCCTCTTGTGTTTGATCTAAAAATTGCATTCTGCTTAGAAGCCTGAAGGAATATGAGATTGTTTTAGTTGAAACTGGTAGATAGTCAAAACATTTCACCATTTGTAGGAATTCAGACATCTTTAAGGTATTGTGAAGTTCCTGCCACACACAAACTCAGTTTAAGGCTGAAGTTCCTTTGTTGGATAGGAGCAATCTGAAAACAAGTGAACAAATTATGTAGACATTATCCCCTTTGATAACTTAGTTTAACTCCAGAGTATTGGACAATTTGATTTGATACACAGACACTGTGTACAATTTAAAACTATCATAAATATTTGCAAGGAGACACAAAGGCCTCCCTTTAGGTATTACAAGTACCTGCAAGCACCCAGTTGCTGGACATGAAAGTAGATTTCACAGATCTAAAGAAACTAGATCTCTGTGGACCTGAGAACCAGAGGTTGTAATGAAGCTTCGAAATAACAAAGCTGAATAACAGACCACAAGACAAGCCTTACAGGTGGATATAAGCAGTTAGTGGTCTATATGTAAATCTACAATGACACAAAATCAATGGAGGACATTCAAACAACAAAAATCAAAAGAGGGGTTCAAATTCTTTTTCAGATTTCTTTTACCCTTAACAAATGCCTTTAGAAAATCACCAAAATATATGTGATTTTACTGAGAAGTTGCTTAAGAATTCAGATGCTAACATACTCATAAACTTGCTTTCATGTTTTTCCTTGTAATCTTCTAAATTATTGTAGTTTTTCTTATGAACATCTCAAGTAAGTTGCCAGGTGCTTCTGCATGGTGGAAAGAAGCTTACGTTGAAGATCTGTTTGTGAGCTCATTTTCTTCCTCAGCTCTAGGACTAGATGATGTGATCGGAAACTTTGAGGTCGGCAAAGAATTTGATGCACTGCTAATCAACACAAAGGCTTCAGACAGCCCTTTTGACTTGTTCTCCTCTGATAGTTTTGAGGTAATAGAACAGGATTAATGATCAAAAAAATCACTGGAAATTGTGTGGGGAAGGTTCATGATACAGCCAGAATAAGTCTCTTGAGACACTCCCGTAACAAGAATCAGGTGTATTATACCACTGTTGTCTCTGTTTCAGCCCAAGAGATTCACTGGTTGATTTTGTTTAGAATCTTGCTGTCCTCAGTGATGGCCCCATATGCCCACGAGCAAAAATGCATGTAACATTTTTAAATGCACATTTTATTAGCACAAACTGACAATTAGAGTTAGATGTTTGCAGTGACAAATGGCAGCCAAGAAAAGCAATTTTGTTTTAGTTAACACTTTGTTCAAACTCAAAAATGGCAACCTATGCCCAGATAAAGTAGGTTGACTTGACTGCACATTTATTGTAAATTTAAGCAAGAACTTGCGATGGATAATTTGAGTTCAAAGTACAGTTTTTATGCAAACATACAAGCAGTATTGGCATTATGCAATAGCACACCTTCTCACAAAAAAACCCTTTATGATTAAAAAAGTTAATGAACAACAGTTACTTGAATTTACTGATGTGGCCAGACTGTCTATTGCTGTCTCTATTCTGAATGTCACCATTTACTTAGAAATACAGCCATAAATCTTGAGGTAATTGTTCCTCAAAAGTTTCAGACACAATAATCTGGATTAGATTAAATTCTTTAATTTTTGTATCTTCTTCCTAATTCAAATAATTCTGGAAAAAAATATTTTTCAGTTTAAGTCTAAACCTTTTTAGCTAAGTTAGCAGTTCTTAGGACTTTCAAAAGGCTTACAATTTTGTCTTATTTTTCAGTAAGTAAATGAATTTGAGAACTATAAAAAGAGGAAGGGGAAGTATTATGGTTTAGGCTTATATTTGTTTATACTGTCAAATTTATGCAGTATTTTCTTCCTGAGACATATAGCCTCCTTAGTGAAAGTTATTTATGAAAAAATGTGCAAGTTAAGTTTTGATTTTGCTTTTAGTAGGAATATTTGGGAAAACTTTTTATCAATTCTTTCAAACTTCAAATAATTATGATCTGGGATAGCAAATGCTGCTTTCTGAATTTGATTTCCTCTCATTTTTTTTAGGATGCTGTCCAGAAGTTCCTGTATTTAGGTATGTTCTGATTCTCAGCCCACATAAAATTCTCTTGTTTCATACATCAAAAATGGCCTAAATTAATGTGAAGGGTAATAAATTTATTTATAGAAAATTAAATATGTATTTGTTTAAAATAAATATATATTTACATTGTATATAAACATTAATATGCTACTTTAGTAATACTAATATTTATTTACATTAATTAAATATACATTTACTTATATTTATTAATATTTTTTTCTACATACTGCGTAAGAGTAAAGTGGTTTAACTTTTGTTCCTTTGGACATAGTTAAATAGTCAGTTCAACGTGAACAGGTATACTGAATTTGTCAGATTTATTACCATCTTTACACTATGAGATAATCATATTTCACAGTAAAATGACCTGCTAATCACCAGTTAATGCTAATCACTGACGTGCTAATCACCAGTTCAGAACCAGTTCAGTACCAAAGAACTTCTGCAGACCAGTTGTCACGGTGGCTTTTTTACTCCCAAAGAAAAAAGATGGTCTTTAAAACAAGCAAAACATGACCCAAATAATCCTACCTCCCTAAGACGATAGATATTCTTCATAGGGCATTGTCTGCACTGAGAGCTGCGCTGCCCATTATGTTGTTAGGTAGAGGTAACTGGTGTTAGCTCTGGCCACGTCTGTGTCATTCTCTAATTAAGCTTTTGCCTTTTTGAGAAGCTGGCTGAGGCAAACCAGCTTTACTACTGCCTGTTACCTGATTTAGTTCAGATACTGTGCATTTTCTGTACAGATATATAGTATTTTCATGGTTTGAATATGCTAAATATATAGAAACTACATGAAACCATAGCTGAATGCTGTGTTTGTTTCTTTAAAAAAAGCATGGATTGTTTAAACGTCCATTGATCTTTGTGGTAGCTGTGATGATGGGCTCTGACTAGCCCTCTAGCCAAGTAAACTTTGTCAGTCCTAGGGAGATGGTCACTGCAAATGATGTATTTCAAAACTGATTTTATGGATTGCATCATTTTCATTAATTAAATCGGTGTATAGATTTATATGCAAATGACTGTTTTGACCATGTTATTTCAGGTGATGATCGGAATATTTCTGAAGTTTATGTGGCTGGAAAGCAAGTGGTTCCTTTTTCAAGTTCAGTATAAACCCATTTCCCTTTTGCAAAATACTTGGTTGATCATTCTGCATCTGATTTGGAAAAGAAACACAGTGCCTGATTATCAGAAATGACACCTCATTTTTGTTTAATGTTTTAAAACTTGCAAACATTTAGACCTTTTAGGAGTTGCGGTATCAATATTGTCACAGTTCTAGAGGAAAAGGATATTTAAATTTCTGTGTAAAAATAACGTGTGAATTGTTAAGGGATTTGGTAAATACCTTAATTAAAGAGGATACCTGCTGTTCATTTTAATAATAGTGTGGGAAGCATTATTAAGAGCAATGAGACTCTCATTATCTATAATGCATCTGAATTAAAAAAAAAAAACACTGCTAGTAAATTGATTTTGCAGATAATGAATATCACAGAAGAATGCAATTTTCATATTATTATCACCAAGTATGGAAAAAACAGTCACATTTTGGGGCACTTGAACATTTTTCAGTTTTCTTTAGGAGCTTATTTTTTTTAAAGTAATAATTTCATTTAAATATTTTTGAAGATAAATTAGATAAGAAGTGTGTATTTATAAATAAATAAGGGTCCTTATTATCAAAGAGTTCAGATTTGTCAGACATAGTCAGACAGAAGAGAACTGGTGAAATAACCAAATAAGAAATGTGACATTAGTCACAGGGAGATGGGCTGGAAGAGTGGAAGGGCTCCATTGTTGTGATGCTGTGAGCTGAAACTACATTTCCGCAGATTTCTTTCCAAGTCTATAAGTGGTCAGCCTGATCTTCCACCCACTCCACTGAATTAACCTTCAGCTGAGCGACAGCTAATGGAACTTGTGTTAAATTAGAAGCAGTCCCTAAGATATCTGAGCAGTCTACTCAATGGCAAACAAATGAAGAGGTTTTTCTGGACTAGAGGGAGTGCTTCATTTAGTTCAGCCTCCTTCCCAAGCTCATTTGCTCCTGACTTTTCAGGCAGGATGATACGTTGTCCCTTCTCCTTTCTATAAGGGAAGTGAGAAGATTAAAAAAAAAAAAAAAATCCAAGAGAAATGGGCTATTTCTGGCCATTACCACCTTTGACTTGAGGTAGAAATTGTCACTGGAAAAAGAAGGTCAGATTTAATGTGCTCTTTTGCGTCTTTCAATGTGGCAACTGTAATTCCAGCCCTATATAATTCCAGGTAAAAAATATGCCCTGTTTGTTTTGGAAATCTAACTTCCTTTCTTGAAAAGTGTATTTTCCTACTTCTTAGAGATAATGAGGTACTATAAATGTGTGTGGAATATGTTTTTGAGGCCTGCTTCAAACTTCTTTGATTTCACTAAGCTTTGTTTCAAACTTTTATCTCGCTGCCTGGCAATATAAAGGCACAGGACTTGCCTCTGTTCACAAAACAAGGGATGTCACTGCACCGAAGTCTCTCTTCATGTCTACTTCCGAGAGAGTGCTTGTCCCAACATTGCTCATAACTTTCTGATTTTAAAAGCATTTTCAGAGTTTATGTACTGTTATGGTTACACCTACATGAGACAGTGTATTGTCAAGTAGAAGTGTAAAAGCTATCTTGGGCACCTAGAGCAGTACAGCTTTTCAGTGTTGTTTGTTTGTTTGGTGTTTTTTTTTTTTTCCAAAGCTGAATAGCCCCACTGAACAACAGGGGATAATTGGCTTGCAGACACCACCCAATGCTCTAGTATCTTCACTGTGCTGTGCTGTGTGCTTGAGGAGGTACAGCCTTCATATCCATTATGTTCAATGATTCCTAAGGCTTTCGGAGTCAAGATTAAAGGTTAAAATTTCCACATTCCATCACGATGTTTTCCTAACCATTTTGTTTTGCATGTGTCCCAGTCACCTACACAGTAGCACACTTGTTTGGCAAATACAGTCTGAAGCTCTTTAACTTGATTTCTTGATTCAGGGAACACTTTTCCTCATGAGTTTTGACATGAATTTAATTGACCAAATTTCATGTTCCAAAACCAAAGATATGTGAGACACATGTTTTAATTCTCCCAGTTACTGTTTGGAACTATTTTTAGGGAGTTACATGGTTTTCAGCTTTGGCTTTCCTGCAAGAATGTTTTCTGGGGCAGAGAAAGGTTACACAGCCTTGTGTACAATGTATGTTTGTGCCCTACTTTGTTTTCAGAGCTACTAATTAAATCAGTGCTTTTATTTTAGTGGTAGTCTTAACTGTCACTGACTTCTTTGTTTTCTCACTATCTTGTAGTGTTGTTAAGAATGGGATTCAACATTTCTTCCTAAAAGATTTGCAGGGGACAAGGGGTTGCTTATTTGCAAACTGGGAATACAGAAGATCTTTAACAAGTTTGACACTACTGCTGGCCCAGTCACAAAGGGACTCCCTAGGATAACTGCTGCCAATGAACATTGTATTTGAATGCTGGCTGTGTCATGAGCAGTTTGATTTTTGTTAAATTCAGGCACAAGGTAGGAACACAGCCTTTTGATTATAGCTTTACTAATGTCTAGTACCCAGATGCTCCCCAGACTTAGAATATCAACTTTTTAAGGATCTCAGCTGGAGAACAAGCTCTGCCTGCAGGTAGTGCCGTGGGCTGCCTGCACCACCATGCAATGCTCAAGACTGGGAGGAGTGAGAACCAAGATGGATAGCATTACACTAAATGCTGAGACACTTAGGGGTAAAGGAACGAAGCCTGAATTTGATGTAAGAGGAAGCCAGTGGAGGAATTAATATAACAAATAAACTGGGAGGTACTTTCAACAGCAGCATCTTAAATAGAATTGAATGGAGGAAGACTTTAATGCCAGAAAAAAGAAGTGGGGTCCTCTGAGGCAGTCCCAGAATCTCATTCAGTGACAGGTGGCTTACAAACATAAATTTTTAGGTTTTAGGAGATACAGAGGATGTAGAAGCCGAACTTCTCTGAAGCAATTTTGGGAAAGTCAGTGATGATCCCACTCTGAAGTTTCAGTCCTTGGAACTCTCTGGCTATGTTTAGATTGCCAAGATACTTGGTGCAGTAGGGGAGGATCAGTAGATGAAAGCAGTTACTGCTGAGACTCATACATCTACACTATGTGCACTTTAAGACTACATATAGTCTATTTCCTTGGGTAAATGTCCCCACTACCTATGCAGTTTGAAGCAGGCCAAATAATTGGTTCAGACTTTTAATGTCTCTTTTAGAGGCTGGAGTACATTCAGCATGTAGCTGAACCTCCAATGTAGTTTCCTCTAAAATAAATGTAATCCTTGTATAAGAGAACCACCCTGCAAACTGAACCAAGGCACAGTAAGGGAGGATGATTGGGAATTCAGTTCAGAACAGCACTACTGTCCCAAACCAAAATGCTAATGGAGGCTAGGACTTGGATTATTCCCACTCCATTCTTAGTAGCTGAAGACAAATTAAAGCAACCTCCTAAAAAAAAAAAAAAAAAAAAAAAAAAAAAAAAAAAAAAAAAGTAACAATGAAGCAACCAAACACTAAGGGGAGATGGGTAAGTGAAAGAAAGGGATAACTTTCAGTCAGTATAAATTGACTGCACAGCGCTACTGACTTAAGATAAAACCTCTGGAAAAATGTACATGCAGCTTTTTCCAGATGTCACTCTCCATTATGTCTCTTGCCATATTGTGGATGGGGTCTTTGTTTCTTAATGTGTCTTTGTGTTCAATGTTAGCACACCATTCAGGCAAAGAAGGAAAAAAGATAGTTTGTGGAAAGCTTGCTTGTTGAGACAATATGCTTTATGTGTTCTATGTTCAGAGGAGCACTTATTTGCTATAAATGGAGTGTATTTGTGTTACTGTTATATGTTGATCTCATTGTGTCACTTTAGGTTTTGATTATTAATAAGTGCTAGCAAGTATGGCATATGCATTATGCAGCATTATTTGAAGTATTCATGTGTGGCAAGTGGAGTTCTACACTTTAAAATGTTGCCTTGGCTTAATGTTTATATTTATTCTGTGTTTCTTGTGCAATCAGAAAGCTTTGTACGGGGGAAAAAGGTGTATTTGTTCACTGTACTGAACATTTTCAGTACAGCAAGTGAACTAACCATTAGAAAAAGAAATGTTAAAATTACCCTGTTTAAAAGGTATGTGCCTGATTATACACTCATGAATGAAAAGATTATAATGGTTTTATGAAAGCTGATATGAATAGTAAATTTTAATGTAAAAATATTTACAGAGAAATAGATTTTTTCAATTTTAATAGTGATTATGCAATACAGATTAGCAAAAGGTAATAATTCTTGGTAAACATCTACTGTTCTACTGAGCAAAGGAGAATGTAGCTATTCTTGATCGTGCATTTAAAAAGAATGTGCAAGTCATGAAAAATAAAAAGCCCAAGTTCTTTCAGAGAATATCCCAGCATTAAAAGGAAAATATATTAACAACATTTCTCAGACAAACAGTTTAAAAATACTGTTTTAAGCATTTCCAGGAACAATACTTAACAAATAATAAGGTGGACAGCGTTTAAAATACTGGGTTTGTATGGATAAACAGTCCAGTCCTGTGTATAGCAGTGATGAACTCATCTCTAAAATGACAGTGTACTAGTAGAAGGTATTTAAAAAAAAAAAGCCAAGGGATTTTTGTAATTTGAGAAAGGACTGGGGAAAAGGAGATTTGGAAATTTGAGAAAGGACTGGAGAAGAGATTTGGAAAGGGTGGTAGCAGAATACAAAATAATGCAACATAGAAAGAAGTTAGATCAGAGGGACTCATAAAAGCAAGATGACATTCAGTAAGTTTCAGGTGGGAAACGCTCAGAAAAGCATATACATTTTCAGGCAATGTTCTGTTGAATGATAGACCTCATTCCTTTTGGAAGTCATTGAGGCTCAAAAACTGAGCAGATTTCCAAAGCAATTACTTATATGCTTAATAATACAAGCCCAAATAATTGTAGCTAATCATAACATAATTATATAACACTTTTCAACGTCTACTTCAAGATTTAAATCAAGATTACCTGTAACAACCCCAGAGAAACCTAATGCAAGGGCATGTTAGGCTTCATCTCCATGTGTCCTATGAAATATTTGGCACTGGCGAGGTCAGAGACTGAACTAGACTGGTCCTGGGGAAGAATCTTTGTTCCTTCATGCCCCAAACATCATCCCCTGTGGCACAGGTGGCACAGTGTTGACAGTCTGACACAGGAAGACAAGCATCTGGTGTGACTAAAGTAACTGAAAATAAGCTGTTTTAAAAAATTAGATCATTTTGAAATTAAGCACACTGCAGAGAGCACAGCATGTTTTAAATTACTTGAGCATATACCTAATAGTGACCTTCTAGGTACTAAGAACTTCGGCTTAAGTTTGGGGTTTTTTTTAAGCCCTTGTACTGTATGTACAATGATTTCTCCCAGCAGAGAAACCAGCAAATTACATCTGCAAGGTTCTCTGTATAAAAACCAGTAACAACAGCAACAAAAACAATTTTGGGGAAGTCAAAAGGACATCAGCAACATCAACAACAATCTGTTGTGTAAAGGT